ATTTATACGGCGGTACTTAGTTTTTGCATGATCGTTTTATCGCCCAGAATCTTTATTTACGAGTATTGAGTAGTTGTTACATAGGTATATAGTGTTCTAAAACCACCTATCCAAGTCAGGCAGAACCTCTTATCCGTGTGGTTTCGTAAAGTAAAACCTGATATCCCCGCGGTTTTTGTGTGGTAAATATTGAGTTCTTGCCTTACCTGCTTAAATAAAAAAGAAGAAATGTGTATGAGAACCCCACTTGATACTTGACTCTAAATTTCACCAGCGTTGTTTGCGTCTTACACCCGGCCACCGGATATGTAAAAGAAAATTTAACGCGTATCGTATTTTACTCGAAGCTGCGTTTTTGAACCCGTGTGGCAGTCTCAGGGCTGGAAAATGCTGTTACATTTTTTTTGCTTTAAAAAGTTTTTTGACGTAGTGAGTCGGCGGGGGATAACACACCATCAGTGTATTATCAAAGAGTCTTGAAGTGCTAAAACTGTAATTTCTAAGGAGTACCTTGATGCCTGTATAAAGATTATCGAAGGTAATCGGGGCGGGGGGGCTCTTTCAGGCGTAGAAACTTTTTACACGCAAAAGTACGTGAAAATAGTCGGGTGTAAGAACGCTTGGCAGGAGGATCCCTTTACTAGCCTTTTTAGGTCAGGTCCTGTTCAAGTCGGGTATAGGTTACACTACGATTAACGCTCCTTATCAACTCTAGCGAGTTGTGCTCCCTCGAGCATTCGGTTGCCTTTAAGAAGGTAAAAACTGGTAATGTACAGTGTCTTACTGAGGTTTGATGAGGTTTGATGAGCGTATGCAACTTAGGTTTATAATGCCCTTGCGACATCTGTGGGAAAACGAGAATACTTTAACGCCTGTATAGAGAGTTTAACCGAAAAGTAATCGGGGGGGGGTCCTTCAACCGGCTATAACTTCTTACACGGCAAAAGTACGTAAATTCTGGTGTAAGAACGCTGAGGAGGATCCCTTACTAGCTTTTTCCAGTTTAGGTCTGTTCAACGTCGGGTATTAGGTTATACTACGATTTAACCGCTTCCTTGATCAACTAGCGAGTTTGCTCCTGGGGAGCCCATTCGGTTGCTCTTAAGGGTAAAAACCTGCTAGAATGTACAGTGTTTCAATGAGGTTTGGGATGAGCGTATCCGCCAGAAAGCGCTTCCGCTCGCCTCTTGGGACAAGTCCCGTGTACAACGAGTAACTACGTAAGCGTGGTGAAGGACGCGCTTTCAAATGAAAAGGTATCGGGCGGGGGGTCTTTCAGTCGTAAAAAAAATTTACGCAAAAAGGGGGTAGAGTTGTGTTCAAAAGTAATTAAAGGAGTTCATCCCTGGGTACTAGCCTGTGGGTTAGATTCCATGTTGAATTCGCGTATTCCGCTTACACTAGTTAACGTTTCCTTTTCAGAAACGAGCTTGCCCCCTCGAGCACTTCGATGCCTCTTACCATGTATGCTCATTTTCTACGTTAATGTGTATAACCCTCCGCCGATGCTGTATACGAAGTTTGGTGTTCAAAAATAGAAAATTGAAATTTAAGTGAATATTTCACTGTTTTGAACATTATGCTAATTAGAAAAAAATAAAAGTAGGCGGAGCTTAGGGGTCCAAGAGGATTATTTGTAGAACAGGTCCACCCGGATATGTGTGCAAAATTTCAGGTCATTCGGAGTTACGGTGCGACTTTGTAAATTTATTCCGAAATGGGTTTTTCATAGGTGGCGCTAGCGAGCACCTTGGACAATTTGAACCCATTGACTCCAGAATGTTGAATTTTTCACGGGTCCTGGCGTCCGTGCAAAATTATACAACTTTGTGAGCGTTCTAAAGCCCTCAAAAACAGGAAACGCCAGCACTATAATAAGAAGAAGAATTCCACCAATAACAATAGGTTCCTCGCACTTCGTGCTAGGACACCGTTGGGGTCCTAGCACTCCGTGCTCGGGCCCTAATAAAATCCCGATCCCCGATTTTTTTTCTCCCAATTCCAATCTTTTGAAAATCACGTGATCGGCTCCGATCACCGATCACGTGATCGGCTCCGATCACCGATCACGTGATCGGGACATCTCTACGTTGAACTATGGCCTGGGAGCACTTCAGTAACCCTGTGAGCCAACATAAAACAGTGATGGATTGAGGTACAGAGGCCAACTGAGTCCTTCATTCACAAATCAACGCCTGACTTTAAGTTTATGAAAACTTCATACACCAGATTGTGCTGTACAGTTCATCAGAACATTATGTTTTCAGTGTATGCCACAGAGGGGGTGTTTACAATGCAGGGACGTGATTTGCATTCAGTCTGGGGCTAAGTGTGCCTCAACGTGACCTCTGAATGGCCACGGCTATGGTCCAGTGCTCAAGTGGAACAGCCGGAAAATGGCAGAGCTGCTTGTTTGTATGTTGAGTTCAAGCTAAAGGCTTTACACTGATTTCACAACATTACGTTCAGTCTTGGTGTGTGCACAGGAGCTGATAAGGTTATGCTTCAGGTAACAATGGCATGGAAATACCAAACAAGCTAGTACAAGAATTGGGAAAGAACATTGAGTTTTTTTCTTCAGAAAGAACATCAGAGTGTCTGATGAGGAGCTGCTTCCACACACTAAAGAGTTTAGTATGAATGTAATCCAACAGAAAATAGACTTTCTAGTACAACAGTCATCACTTCTGACCAAACTTCCAGTGCTTTCTGGCATGCAGAACACACAAAGATGAACAAGTACAAAGAATGTCAACTAGAAAACTAACTTTGTATGTGCTAGTATCCTACCTGTCAATGAACAGAAGAAGTGATGGGGTTGCCATGCTGCCCTGTCACCACAAAAAACGGAATTCTCCCCCAAAAAACAGAGAGAAGGCACCTGAAGGGTTCTAGAAATTACAATTCTTTAAAAGAAGAGCAAAGACTAAAGCTCTTCTTTAGTCAAGATTCAGGCCCATGTCTTCCAAAAGTTTAAGTTGGAGAGAGGAAAGAGTCCCACACGGCCACTATGTTCAGAGACAGTGAGATTGTGGAGGAAGAGGCAATGAGAGGCCTGACTTCACAAATGGGAGGGGAGGAGTGGGTGTGAGGAGAAGGAGTCTGAAGGGCACTGAGGGAATCAGTAACTTCTCCGTTTGAGGTAGGAGGGATAATAGTAGAATAGTAAGAGGAGGTGCTGCCATGGTGTATTAAACTAAATGTAATTCATTTTAAATCAATTACAGTGGGAAAAAAGTATACAAATCTGTCACTAAGTGTTACGTTAGTGCTAACACTGGTGTTAACACATGTACAATGTGTTATCTACGCTAAGAGAATGCCTGTGTGGCAGCAGGATAACAGAAGACACGTCATAAAGCGATACACGTCATAAAACGACACAGAGAGGGTCAGCTTCTAAGACCGGTGCAAAAGTGACAACAACAAAAAATACAAGTTTGACTAGGTGCTGTTAACCCCCTGCCTGTTCCTTCAAGGACAACTCAATAGAGAGTGGAATGTGGCAAAGCAGTGAGAGGAAATTAAATACCATCCTAAGAACTACTTCCAAGAACTCTTGACTAACTTTGCTGAATTTTGGATACAATTTCAACATGCTCTCCGGTTGAAATATATAAAACGTGTTAACAGTGATAGTTAGTAATCAACACAGCCAGAGCAAACCATTGTATTGTATGTAAATTAATACAAAAAGTTGTTATGGGTAAACAGAAACCTAGAATGAAGGGTCTTGTTGAAACCAAAAAGTCGTTTAGGATTTGTTTGATCATTTTTAATAGTTCAATTCATGGCTAAGCTCCCCTGATTGATTATTTTTCTATTTCATTTTCAGATCTGGATAAATGTATAACTTTTTCTTTCCAACTTTTCATTCATAGTCTTGGTTTTTAATCTTTGTAAAATGCTGAATGTAGCTCGGTTTCTCCTTTCATTTTTGTTCTTGTTTGTCTGAAGAAGGCTCACTCGAAGATGAGTTGTTGGAGTTCTTAAAAATGAAATAAAGAAAATAATTTGAGATATTTTAGTAGTGGTTGACAAGTCATTATTTAATTAACTTAACAGTTGCAGATGATTAGGTAATCAATTATCTATTTGATGCATTCAGCGACTAAATATTCAAGCTCTCAAAATAATGTATTGGAAGTTTGAACCATGGGAAATGATAGACTAATGATACCTAACAGAGAGACAAAAGAAGACAAAAAGCATGGCCATGCATATCATAATCATATGCTCCTGCCGTGTTGGTAGATGCATTTAAAAACACTAGGTGGATAATGGCTAGGCCCACAGCCAAAGTAATCATGGATCATTATCTCAAAAAGGTAAAATATTGTCCCCCACCTGCTCTCTCTGCAACATCAGAGAGTAAGACGCACTCCCAATCACACACAGAATTAGAATGTAATGCCTTGTCTTCTTTACAAACAGAGCAGCACAATGATGCAGTCAAAATGCAAACTAAAAATGGTGATGGTGGGATTTAGGGTGTTAATGGAACCCTTGATTAATAAAAAAGGCAAAGTTGTTTTTCATTGGAACGAAAAAAACACCTTCATTTAAACAAGGTTTTATCTTTGTAATGTTATTAACGAGAAGTGCACTGAAGCCAGGAAACGCAGAGCTTTTTGTTTTACAGAGGGTCATTGTAGGTGAGCTGTAATATGCAAGAGTGGAAGGAGGGTGGGGGGGATATGTTGGCTAAGCAAGGTTTGTAAAGCAACTTTGAGCAATGGCTACTTCTCTAAGGCTATATTATAAAGCCTTCCACACAGAGTCGAACGAGAGGAAGCAGAAAATGATTATTAGTTTGCTGAGGCTTATTTTTCTATTTCTGGCCACTCCTGTGATAACCTGTGCTTTATCTCTTGTTATACCCAAATGATAGAATAGGCAAGTGAGAAGCAATATTTCTTGCTTCCATATAAGGGGTACTAACGGAACTAAAGGGGAAAAGTACGGGGAAAAGTACTTTTCTCCGTACTTTTCCCCTATTTGTCTTGATGCTAAAGTAGGGATGTTTATTTAAAACTTCCAAATGTCATTGTTCTAGTCCCAATTAAAATCAGCTTGTTATTTTAACCTATTTTGACCTTTTAAATATTTTTTTCAGTATATTTCATCAAGTTCTCCTATGGAGACAAACTTTATATTGTTATAACAACTGGGTTTAACTATATTGAAAATGGCTTTCTGTTAACCCCAGCCTCCACTTATGGGCAAATAAGCTGCTTACAACTACATTAAAGTGTGTTATAAACCATTTATGAAATGTTTCTACACTGCTTATGAATATTAAATAAGGGGGGGTTGAAGTAAAGTGTTACCAACCAAGTCTTGGATAACTGCAGGTATGGCTACAATGAAATGATATGGCAACTACCTTGATAGACACAGAAATTGTGGGGCGAAGTTAAAATGAATGAATGATCATGACGTAATAAAGAGCATGGAGCCCGGCTTTTGTAGTGCAAATCAACCATCTGAATAAAACATGAGTTATCGTAGATGGATATTCTGAACATACCTGTTGAATAAGCTTGCTAGAGGTCCTAATTTCTTTAGCCTTCCATCCTCTTCCTGATGCGGACCCCGTACAGGACTCCATAGGTCTCCGGGGTTTCCAGGTGACGTCGTCAGTGTCACGTCTGTGAAATGACTGCCGCTGCTGTCGTCCGTCTCCAAGGTAACGATGGCGCTGGAGCTGGAGGTGACTGTGAAATCCAAGATGTCTTCATTGGAGACGGACAGCTCGGTGCTCATGCTGGACATGCTGGATATGTCATCGCTGCGGTTTAAAGCTCCGACGGCCGCCCCCGAGGTGGTTGACAATCTGAGGGCGGGGCTAAGGTGGCGGATGGAGTCGTACCCACTGCGGGGGAAGGTGGAGGATTTGCGGATGGAGTTGCCATCAGTAGAATCTTCCAAAGTTAAAGTGGCGGGCGAGTAGAAACTGGAGTCAGAGACGAGGCCTCCGTCACCGGTGCGTTGGTGGGCGTGGATGATGGGCTCTGGAGGGTTGATCTCCAGAGTGGGGATACCCGAGTCCTGGGAAGTCAAGCTGTGGCAGTCCTGGTTCATGTCCGAGTAGTTTTTTTGGGGGCTGCAGTAGTAGATGGGGGTGGAGGAGCAGGATGGCTTGTAGGTGGGCACGACCGTTTCACTGTGCATGGTGGAGCTGAGGTCATGGTGGTGGTTGTTGGTGTGATTGTGGATGTCAGAGGTAGCCAGCTCCGTCACTACACAGCCATTCTGCACTATGGCTTCTCCAGACAAACCTTCAGAAAGAAAGTGACATTTAATTAGAGGATTTTTATACAACAGTTTTTTTAATAAAACAATTTAAAACCATTTTAAAAGAAACTTGGACATTGTGCAAGCAATACAATATCCATCCCTTGTTTGATTGTGCTTTTGTATAATACCGGCTGTGTTTTCAAATGTTTCCTTAAAACAGAAAACACATAAATGTCTACTGTTTGATTTTTATGTTTGTATTTGTCTTTAATTGATTTAATTTTCTGTTTGATTGTTTACTTATTTATTGTACGTTGGTTTGTGTGCAATTGTTGAGTCACTAAAAAAGATTGAACTATTAACTGAGAAAAATGCGATATAAATACTATTTGACCCTAAATAAAGAATTTAAAAAAGGTTACAATTCTACTATTCTGAACGATTTCCAGTGGTGTATAGGTGTGACATGAGCTCAAAGGGAGCCCAGCTTTTTTGTACCAAATTCCAGGGACCCTGAATAAACTATCCTGCGAAATGGAGAACATGTATTATATAATAATGATTAACTGTATGTTTTATTGATTTATAGTAGGCTTTTATAATCCACATGTTTTAAAGTTTGAGTCTGCTTTACCTGAAAGAAAAAAAAAAGGGTATCATGTCAATAGTTTCCACTGACAGGTGGGTCAATAAACCACAAAGAATTGTGCCAAGGAAGTCCAAAATATATTTTTTTTAAAGCATACTTGTTAACAATAACGATTTGAAAAGTATATACATCTTCAGAAAATGTGGTATATTTATAAAGGCCTCGATTATATAAAATTCCTTTAAAAATGTTATACAAAAAACGAAAGAGTGATTATTTATTTTATATTCTATGATTGGGTGTTTTATTTCCAATTGTATCAGATTTACTGTTAATCAAACTGAAACACACTAAAATTTGCAATGTGCGTTACAACTACACTTTCAGTCAAATTGATTGACAGTATTAGAATTATTCTACAATCATTTAAATAATTTATAGCTTTTCATCAATAAAAAAAATGCTAAACATTCACTGGTTCCATCTTGTCAAAAGTGAGGATATGCAGCTATGACAGTTATTATAGCGTTTCAAATTGAATACAACTCGGTTATGGATTGTTTGTTTGAGATGATAAATAATATTAAGATGTCTCCTTGGCCCAGAGCATTTTAATCCAACCCTGAATGTGATGCTATTTGAACATGTGTATATATGAGATGTATTCATACAAATGAATAACACCAGCTCTACATAATACAATATTTAAAGGTTTTTTTCTGCTTGACCGGGGTATCAGGTTAGAGTGGAAGCCTTGAGAGGTGAAAACTAATCCCACAGAAACCAGGCTGTAACTGGAGTGCGGACTGTAATGTGAACAGGGGCCCCAGTAAAGTCTATAGCATGCTTTAACACCAGCTGGGAAGCTAAGCTAAAGCTAATGGATCAGGGTCTCAATCAGTCCTGTACTCAAGCACCATAGTGTTGTAAATGCTAATGCCATGGGTAATTAAAATAAATAGGTAGGTAAAAGAGAACGGTCAAATAAATAAACATTAACAGACAACGGGGCCCTTTTTTTGTGCAAATGTTTGACACATAAAGCCAGATTCTTACCCAAGTTTTAAACCCTGACCTGCAGGTTGTCATGTGATTTGGGTAAACTTTGTCCCAAAACATAGCAAAGGTTGGTCTTGTGCCACTCTGGAAATAATCTAAAACCAGAGGTCACTAGGACATATCAATAAATAGAGTAATCTGTACAAACTCACTTACTTTTATTAAATGTATTACTGTGTACTGCTGAAAAACTGGCATTCTTGTTAGCCTAACTTATGTTTTCAAACATAAAAACAATGCCCTTTATAAGGTTTTAACCACAAATCATTCAAAAGTATTAGCATAGTAGTGTAAAAGCAAGGCCACGCCAACATAGACGAGGCATGACAGAAGAAAGAGGTGGCTGACTCCTTATTGGCTACTTAATTAACTGATACACCCATTAGAGTATATGCACACACAAATCTTATCCTGCAAGTCATGATATAATTATTAATAGTATGACTTTCAGTGTGGGTAAACATAATCTCACAAATTCTAAAATAAGGGCATATGCTTCAGTGGTTTTCTAAGAAAAGTTGTCCTCCGTTTGGGTTCGGAAGCAAGTTCCTAAGTGGCACTGCTGCAGGGTAAGGTTGGAATGCATGGTGTGATGCATATAATACAGGGCACATGACATAAAACATATTTGATAAGTATGCCTGGTTTTTCAAGCCTATAGGCCTCTTTTTTTCAATGCAGCTGTATTTATTTTTAAACAGATACATTCTATCACCTTGAAGAATGATGATTAGCAAAAAGAAATAGATAAAAGGCTGTTTTTTCTCTAAAAGTGCAGCTTGGTATTTGTACTCTTGAGTCTTAAATTAAGTGGTTTAGCAATTCATAAAAGGTTTTGAGCCATTTTGCTGGGGTTAAAGTTTGAAATTAATAGCAGCTGTGCAACTCTGTATTCTACTTTAAAATCATGTTGAATTCCAAACCGAATACAGAATTAATGATTAAGAAAAAAACAGTGGTTAGAAAGTCTAGATTTGAGTTCAGAAATGTACTTCTAGTTAATTAGATGTATGCCGAATTTATTATTGGCCTTAAATTAATCACAAAATGCAAAATGTTCTGGTTTAACAACCGTATACATGTGTAATATTCGAGGTTCAATTGAACTCCAATAATTTTTAAAGGCAGTTTGGCGTGACCTGTAATGTTGCCAATACCAAGGAAGAAATGCACATTGCCTCCAGTATGAGGGCACAGTTCATGTGGTACGTGTTGTTAAAATAAAAATAATTACATAAAAAGGTCTGAAAGCATATCATAATAACCTACCACAGCGGCTGTCTCTGCGGTCCCGGGTCCCGGTGGTCGTGTTCGCCATGATGCCGGTTGATGCTACAGGTGTCCGGCAGGTAGCCGCCTGCTGAAGCGGTCCATGGTGATGCTGTGATACTGCTGCTGCACCGCCCTAATCCCCATGCCTCCTCAACGCAGCTTAGAGTACACAAACAGCACCAGTGTGAGGAAAAGAGTCGAAAAAATAATAATATAAAAACATGTAAATTCACCTCTGGGGAAAAGGAGGATGGTAAATATAAACACGTCTTCCCGGACTTTCTACCGACGATGATTCTAGCAGCGCTTCCTCAAGTGAATTATATCAAAAATAAGTTCAAATGCGACGGACATGTTTTGCTCTCACGTCATCTCTAGAGGAGAGGACACGCTTCACCGGTGTTATAACAAGCACATGTCATAAGTTTATCCGGTATCGTTAACATTTCATACCTATTTTGACGCTTCCGCCGCCATTTTAAACCAAACTTGTACCGTGAGTGCGGTGCAATCGAGTGAAGAATGTTCACCGTCGATGGATTCACCTGTCTTGAAATGAAGGCATTAATAATCGATCGCGTACCTGCAGGCTAACTTGTACTTAAGAACATGTTAGTAAGACAAGTTAAGTACCGTACTTCAGTAAATGTACTTAAGTACAAGTTTGAGGTACTTTTACTTTACTTGAGTATTTCCATTTTATGTTAGTTTGTACTTCTACCCAACTACAATTAAATTGTTTACCTTTACTCAACTACATTTATTTAATACCTTTAGTTACTTTAATGCATCAATAATTATAATCAAAACATATAATTATATTATTCTGATATCGACCAATCTGCAGAATGAGTACTTTCCTATACTTTGGTATTTCTAGAATTTACACTTTCGGTGCTTTAAAATAGTTTGCTGCGTTTATTATTATAAATACCCCTCCTCTATGTACTTTAAGTGCAGTATAAATGTCATAATGCTACCATTATCCCAGGTACTGTCTCACCTGTTCAATCCGTCATTTAACTAATCAAACTTGTTTTGCACAACACCCTTTGTGGGATGGGCGACTGCTTGCTAAAAATATACTGACTTGTTGCTTGGTGAACTGATATTTCAAAGGTCAAAATTAAACACTTGCACTCAAAACAACTGCAACATGTGCATAGGGAAAGACATTAAATTCTCATTTTGTGAGTGTCAGATCACACAAAATATATAACATTTTATAAAATGTTAAATATAACACTATTTTGATGACAATTCAATTTGGACTCAAATGACTATAAGCAAATAAATGCTACAATAATAGTATTTTTTTTGGTCAACTTTTAGCATGGATGCTGTAGTGTCAAATACAAAACATTGCCCTTTTTTTGAATAACATCCGCATATAAAATATATTTTTAAGGGTTATTTCTTAAATTGTTTGCAGCTTTTCACTTCACTGTTGATAAGTATGAATAGAACATAATGATTAAAGCTTGTGATATGAATGAGTATCATCACCCTGCCCTCTAGTGTCGCCGTAAGGTAAGAAAAGAAACAGGTAAACTCAGACTGAGGTTTGGTTTATTCCTTTATTAGATGTTAAGAAAATCCACAATGAAACAAAATAATTGACTCAGGGTGTACATGAAATTAGAACAACACATCTACTCGGGACAGATGGGATTCAGGAAAATATAGGGAAGGGTGAAGGAGCGTCTAGTTGGGAATGAGAAGACGAGGAAAACGTCCAGTTTTCAGTGCCGGATATGTTCTTTAGACCACAGTGCAATCAGAACAGTGTCATTCCAAACACATATACCCTCACTGAATGCATTTTTTCATCTCACACGCTTTGTGTTTTTAACACGGCCTATCAAAATGGAAGAATTAAACGGAGAAAGGTGTGATGCATTCCTTTCACCTCCCATCTAAGTGCTTTTTGTGACTTATCTTCTTACACAATTCACTCACAGATTCACACAGTCATAGCATTCTTTCAATTTAACCTCACTTTTATTTTTTAAACCAAAATATTTTTTGTTAAATCCAACATAAAACGAGTGTGATGTTTGCATGCTGCATTTCTAGAGACAGTCTGTGTTTTTTTTTTCTTCCTGTCAGGTGTCCCTCACTCAAATCGTATCAACATGCTAAATTAGCTGAATGACTTTTCTCCGTATATTCTTTAATGTTTTCATGCGCCAAAGGTATTGCATAGGACTTTTGAATTCCCCTCCACATTGCTTATGCAACCTACAATGGCTTTTTTTTCTTCCCTAAAACTATATGTTTACGACAGTCACCTTTGTGGTTTGCGCGGAAGGAACTCCTGTCAATAATTTCTGCTCTACAATCAAAAGAAAAGTTTTTACATTAATGCATCGATGCACTGTCACAGGTCTGAGTGTAGATTATGCTTATATTAAAAAATTCCTGAGTGTCTGGTGACTGTCGAAGAAAGGTGACAAGACCCTGAAGTTGGAGTACCTTGGGGCCCTTTTTTATTAATTGAAGTGGCATTGGATTGAGCAAACCATTGGCCTGTAAATACAGTCGTTGCAAAATCAGGAAGCCATTTACAAAGCCATGCCAACCTGCGACTTGCCGAAAGTCTGCACATTTTTAATTGCCCATAACAGAAGGATAGTTTTAGTTGTGTGCTTCAGTTTCATTGTATGTGACGAAAAGTTACCCTACTACTGGCCTCACTACCTATAGTTTTTAGCTGAAATCGAAAGAAGGTAAAAGCCAGAAGGTTTGCCAATTTGTTCAGGGCTTTTCAAATTTAAGGGGCGCTAATATGCATATGCATTTTTTGTGAACGTAAGTCTGCATACATTCACGTTTCTCTGAGATAAAGTTCTAGTCCACTCATTCTGAACCTCCACAAGTTTTGCCAACACACAAACACACACACTCACACATAGTGAGATATTACTCAATATTTCAACAAGATATATTGTAAACCAAAAAAAAAAAGAAAATAACACACCTCATATGAAAAAAAAAAAGCATTTGTACCTTAGAGTAATTATGCCATGTTTTTGGTTTGACCTCTACTCGCCACTTGCTTGGTTATACATTTGTTTAGTTGCAAAATGGACAATAAACCATTAGACAATGCTGATTCTGTCCTTTCTGTTTGGGGACAAGTAACTTAAAAGATGAACATGAGATTTAAACACCTGCAAGTATTTCTGCTTCTGCTGCAGGCCTGACAACTAAGAGGTTAACTTCAAATAAAAAACCAAGCCACATTAAACAAGAACTGCGATCAAGCTAATCTTTTTTTCTTCTTTTCTCAATTTTTCCGCAAAAAGATATTCATGGAGTCTGACTGTCTGGACTACAAAGAAAACTATGCCATCTACTTGTATCACAGCCATATTATGGAACTGCAATTCAAAAGATTCTTGAACATATTTATAGCACCAATATTTTGTACCATAGGAATTACAAAAAATTAAAACAAAGTTTCATTCAATTGCAACACAGGTGTCTGCAGACATGGCTGTAGTCTTATCATGTTGGGTCTTTACCCCAAAACAAACTTTTTTTTTTCTTCCCCCAATTATTTTACAGAATTGCATTTCAAGTAGACCATTAGTATTTTTTCCAACATAACTCCTTTTGATTTCCTGTTTTTAAAAAAGGATTTTTTTCTTTTCTTTTAGCCTCACAAACCATACTATGTCTACTACTAGCTTTTGTAAGACTATCACCATTCAAAAATCAGACTCATTTATGATAACTTTTCACACATGGGGAATTTATGGATATTTAGAAGAAAAACTGCACACATTCTCTACTTCACATTCAGAAAGTCGTCCAAACAAACTATTTAAATTAAACTCTCGAAATTCTTACACAACTCAAAAATCTCAACTTCCTTATAATTATCTTTCTGAACATAAGATGGAAAGTAGAGTATGCGAAAGCAGTCGTTTCACACAACTTTATGTTTAACTAGAAAAAGAGGAGTGAGACTGGCTGGACGAACATACATGCACAACCATTCAGATACCAGCAACTAGGAGTATCCTAGCTCAAAAGCAAAGATGGCGGGAACAAAACTGACAAGGATAGAACAAAAGATTGTCCCTACTACCTAACTGTGAGACTTGAATGAGGATCAGCGTACAGGAGAACCAAATTAAACAAATTCTAAAATGCCTAAAGTGCATGTTTGCACATGGCATCACTCAAAGACAGAACATGTTTTTTGAGTTTTCATATTTTCTCTCACTTTTTGTTGATCTGATTGTTGATTACACAATGTTTAGTAAATTAAAACCAACAGGGGTTATGTGTGGGGGTTTTGGAAGGGTGTGTCAGACAATAAGCCTACATTAGGTTTTTCCAGCTCCGAGATGAACCTGAATCTTTGCTGGTAGAGGTCCAGTCACAAAAGGAGAGGAGAGTGTCCTCTCTACGACAGGAGTCCTCTGCAAAACTGGAGTAGTCAAATGTTGCTGCTCCCTGGAGAAAGAAGTCAGACGAAAAAGGTTAGATTGATACAAGTCTAAAAAGGTCCATGCTGCCTATGTTTCTCCTTTACATCTTACACTCATGACCTGATTAGGACTTTCAGCCATATTTTCACTGCTAATGTTTTTCTAAAACCCCCTCAGTGGAATGCAGGTAGCCATCACCAAAAATGGGTATACTATTTAGATAGCTCATATATTTTGATGCCTGCAACAGCAGAAGCTGATGGCCAGTATTATACAGGTCTGTCTCTAGGATCTTAACATCACAATATTGGGACAATCAAGTTTTTTTGCATGAGCAATGCTTTCTAGGTCATGGCACCTGATAGGTCATATCTTTTTTGAATTAGATTGTGCTTTGTATATAGCACTGATAGACATCTATAAAGAGTGTCAATGTGAATGTTTTGTGGGAGGAAGGTTTGGGCCCAAGATGGGGAGTCTCTGTCCGTCATACCTAATCAGGGGCGGATCTAGAAAAATATTGATGGGGTGGCAAGAGGGTGGCAGGAGAATTTGAGGGGTGGCATCCCCTGGCAGAAGTATATTCTGATTTAATCACAGTCATATCAATTACTGTAATGTTAACTTGGAAAGCCACAATATGTCTTTTAACTCAATAACATTTGGTGACATTATTGTGGCACATCAGTAAAGCCTTAAATATAAATACTGTATATAAGGTGGCAGAATTAATTTAACCCTCTATGGTATGATGTTGCCTCCAGGCAACATACACATTTTTTGCCTTTTGCATTCAGACAATATACAGTATCTCAAATTATGATGCAATACTTTAAAAAAGAGGCAGGACCATAAGGAACCAATAGTAGTTTTTGAATTTGTCCCATGACTCTCTGGCGGCCAATTTGAAGACCCTGCCTTTCCCACAAGGATCAGCTCAGCCATTTCTCTCCAAGAAATGTGTCTAAAAACGTAATTTCCTGCGCATTTCATGTCTGGAA